ATCGTGTGTTCTATTTAGATAGACCGGAACCTGGGATAACGAGAGTGCGAGAACACTAGAAGACCAGTCTACAAACCTGGAGAGTTTCCGTGTAACGTGTCAACACCCGACCAGGCCGGTTGTTGTCGAGTAGCACCTCGACCAGCCCCTCCACGTTGGTCCCCCGCCAGGTGTACTCGTTCTGCGACGGCGAGATCCTTAACGAAGAGGTTGGGAGAGACGAAGAGATATATTCGGATATATATATTGACACCCGAACGATAACAAGTAGGGCAGAAACCGAGACAAACAGCGGAGGTATTTTCGTACGTGGCCATTTGGGTGCTGCCGGACGTGTGTAGTAAGATGGTTGGGGGGCATAAAACACAGAACAGCTCCTCCCATAGGGGAAGGCAGGGCTTACCGTAACCCGTCAATACTTAGGAATCAGACGTGGAACAACTTCACAGCAGTAGTTGTATGCTTGAAAGATTCCAGGTTGGCCTGATGCGCCCCGTTCGTTCATGTTATTGGCGTTTGCAGTTGTGCTTTCTACCACCACAGCTTCCGATTCTAGCTCCGAGCTGGGCTACAGGAGACAACCGTGTGCCAACGCGTGGCTTTTTTTCATAATCACAAAAACGGCGCCGAGCTCAGAAGTCATTTTACGCCACGCCCCTCTCTTGTCATGCCCTCCGTATCCGCATGGTCCACACGCCGAGCATTGTGTACAAGTGGGTCTGCAATAGTTGCCAGGGGAAAGGATATCTGGAGCAACACAGTTTTGCCAACAAAGTGTTCTGGCTTTCTGTCCTGGCCGCCACACCAAGCAACAATACCTTCTCGACGCCAGCAAGAAAGGTCGGGTGTGCACACCCTGGCAGGCCCGTCCCGACCCCAGCACGGGAATGCGCTCGCCATCATCCCCTGGTGGACAGAAACGCCTGTGGAAATCCTGGGCGAACTCGAGCTGCTTCAGGACGAACTGGTCTTCGATCAACCGCGTTACCTGATTTTCGGGGGAGAAAAAATGAACACGGGAGGATAAGAATCTGCCCCCCCCCCCCATGGGTGTTCCCTCCCCCCGGTGTTTGCCATCGGGGTTAGGTTTTCGTCGCTTGGCAACGACGTTGTAAAACAAGCCGCCCCGGTACGTACCGCCGCTAGAGTACGCCGGAGAAGTATGGGAAGGAAATAAGAAGGTAGTGAAAGAACTCGAGGCGGCGCAGATGAAAGCGGCGAAAATCATCCTAGGATGCTCCAAGCGCACAAGTAATGCAGCCGTCAGGGCAGAATTGGGGATCCAATCCCTACGGTCGGGAGAGATGCGAGGAAGCTGACATGGCAGTATCGTATGTGCGGGATGGGAGAGGAGAAGTTGCCGAGGATTGTATGGGAGGCGAAGTGGGCAAACAAAAAGAGGGGTAGACAACCCACGGAATGGGTCAAGGTTGTAGAGGACGTATGGAAGGGGCTTGACATCGACGAAGATGAAACGCTGGAAACGGAGGGTCTAGGGGTTCAAGGAGAAGATATATGTTGCTTGTGCCGAGAGAGAACATAATCTAAGGAAAGAATCCAAGGATAGGGAGGGTCTAGAAGTGTACAAAATGTTGAAGGAAGGAATAGGGTTCAAGGATTACCTACATGGACCAACGGATGCAGGAACAAAGCTTAAGGTCAAATTCAGGACCGGGGACATAGACCTTCGAGAACATCGACGAAGGCATAGGACGGTGGACGACGAAGACGACGAGTTCAAATGTGATTGCGGCTTCGAATGCGAAGACCGTGTTCATGTAGTCGCGGAATGTCCGTTGTACAAGAAGGAGAGGGAAGTGTACGTGACTGAGCTGGGAAAAATAGATGGAACGTACAGGGAGATGTTTGAGGCATGGAATAGAGAGGAAAGGACGGTAGCTGTACTGGGGCATAGGAGGTGGGTTGAAAAGGCGGGAAGGGATATCGTTAGGATAGACAGACTAGGGAAGACATTTTTGAGCCAC